GAGAGAGAGAGAGAGAGAGAGAGAGAGAGAGAGAGAGAAATATTATTTACAAATGAAGACGTTAGCATTATTGGTTTTAAAAAAAGTTATAGCAGTGTTTGTTTAGAGTCGTTCATCAACCTGACATCAAGATCACTCTGCGTAATTTAAAGTGTGTTTTTTTTGTGTGGGTTTTTTACCTCTTTGCAGTCGACTAAATAAACATTTTACGAGGCGGGTACTCTGTAACTTGTAACCTTTCACTTTTCTGTAAAAGGGGTGAACAGCAGTTGGGTGGGGTTGTAGGTCTATCATTGTACTGGTTAAACTATATTGGAGCTATTTCATTTTAAATTATACTTTTAACGTTCAGTGGGCATCATATACATGTACATGATTAGAATGACAATTAAATTTTATTTTTGAAAATTTCATTTTTTAATACCATAATTTCTATTTTCATCATATTATTTCGATTGGACAGAATCCATCCAAGCTGTAGATCGTCGTGAGTTTGTATGTGCGTATGTACGTATGTGTGTATGTGTGTGTGTGGTGCGTGCGTGAATATGTGAGTGCACGCGTATGTAATACTATGTGCCTTTAAAATTGGTTTGTAAATCTATAATATGTATCATGTTAAGCGCATAGAGCATTGCATAAGTGGATATGCGCTATATAAATGCAATCCATTATTATTATTATTATAAAAGTCTCAGGCAAGACTAAGCCATACTAATACTAATAATAAAACATCACAAAGTACGAGATGCCTTGCGTCAGATGTATCGAACTAGGGTCTTTCGAAGAACACTTTGCATACAGGCTTATAAAAACATTATTCATTTTTCGAATGAGATGAAAAATATTGGGTGGGGATGGGTTGAAGGTTAGGATGGGGTAGGGTGGGGGTGAGGTGGGAGTGGGGATTCACCCGGACATGGGAATCTAAACTTAGCTTTGAGTGTTTGCCCCCTCTCTGCAATGTGTGAAATATGACTGAAATCCCATGTCCCAGTGTTTACGATTGCGTACCTCTCGACCTGAAGCACGTGGCAAAAGTCACGTGCAACTGTTTGCAAACAGTCACCTAGCCACGCCCCCCAGTCACACCTTTTCACCCTTTGTTCCCCTCTCACTGACTTTGCCACGCATGAGACTGGGATGGGGGTATGGGAAGTGAGGAAAGTGCAGGCACGGAGACGAACAGATTATTCCTAGATCCAGCGTGAAAACGTACTATCTCGCAGAAATGTGTTTTCAACAAAATAACACTTTCACTCTTCACCTTCGGTTCTTACGGGGGCGTTCGCGCTACTCGAAGCGACTGTTCACAAGACGTATTGTTCACTCCCTTCACCCTTCCAAGCCAACCTCCACGAAGAATAAAAACCTCATCAAGGCCGCTTGCTGTTCTCCAGTGCAGCACAGTACTGTACAATACTATTCTCGCTTGCTTCCCTTTAACTGTCTCGCCCTGCTGGCTGCTTGGTTCACTCGACTGACGTTCGTTCGTTTCTCTTCCTAGTACTAGTTCGTTCTTTCGTTCGTTCGTTCGTTCTCGAGCCCGTCTCGCTTCGCATCCCACTGCCTTCGCCCGTCTGTCGTTGTTGAGCCAGCGCTGAATGACCGCGAACCTCGCCAGATTCGGACGAGTCAGCCGATGCCGAGTGAGGGAGAGAGGGGGGCCAAGTTCGGGAACTGGTGTGGCGCGCGTTCAGCGATCAGTCTCAGTCTCAGTCAACGACAGCGTTGTGAGAGGCGGTGTGGAGCTTTGCATTTTGGACTAACGGATATATTGCGGATTTTCACCCTCGGATTTGGATTACTACACCGGATTAAAAGTGCATATATTTACTTAATGATAATAATAATAATAATAATAATTATAATGATAATAAAAACAATAGCCGTATAGATCTAGTAATAATAATGGTAACAACACTAACGATAACAACATATTATGTTGATGTTGATGGCATTGGTGGTAGTAAAATTAAAACAAAAATAGTAATTCCAATTATAATATTACTACTATTTTCAATTACTATGAAGAATATTAATGATAATAACAACAGTAATGAAGCAGAATGATACAAACAATAATGATTATGATAAATTGTTGTAGCCTTTCAGGGTTAAAAAAAATAGAAAAAGAAGAAAATTAACTAGATCTAACTAGTGCCGACTTTCTGCTTATCCCCTTGTTTGTTTTCTTGTTTGTTAACTTCATAAATTGCGCAATAAGATTTTTCGATCGAAACAGTATGTCTTCGACTTCT